GTCAGTCTGAATATCTTTTTATTATGACAAGACCTGCCCATTCTGAATCTTTTTCCTGTGGGAAATTGGCTTAATGAAAAATGGACTGGTTAGCCAATCTGACATAAATTGTTAGTTTCAGGCTCTTTTAGGAAGACGTTGAAAAAGTGCAGTGGTGATGTAAAAAGCGAAGTATCAGTGCCTTTCCCACTCTGACTCTAGTAAGCTAAAGTCTGGACAGCTGACATGGTTTACTGTACTTTGTATTTCATCAGTTCTGTTTACACTACCTTTTTATATGAACGTTGATGATTAAACCAGTAGTGTCTTTCATAGTGTATTATATATTTTATTTAGAAAAGGCACAAATAGGGATAAGTGAGCTTTAAAAGTCAATGAAGCCGCTAAACACCAAAAGGTACCAAAAACCTTCAAAATAACCATATAAAACCAGGGTGTAGCTCTAAAATCAACATACAAATGAGTAATTCAAGGTATAAAATAGAGCCGATAAAATCATGCAATAATAAGTGACAGTTGTAGATGATCAATAGTGACTTAAGTGACACAAGTGATAAAGTGCTGGCAAATAAATAAAGTGATTGAATAGTGATTCACTCCGTCACTAGATAGTGACCAATGGTGTATAAAGTGCTGCAAATGATGATCAGCATATAGTCCAATATAAGGTGCATAGGAGATCGTGATGATCTTCCATATTTGGTGTTCTTATCCAGCAAAGTGGTGATGTGGCCCAAATAGTGAAGACTGTGCACTCACATGATGCGCAATCAATAAGCGCATTTAGAGATATCACCCTCAGAAACCTGGAGGTCCCTTTAAGGCCTGGTCTGGTCAGGTGTCCCCCACTTTCCAACAGATTTTCTGGCATGATCACTAGGTGAAAATAAAGGAAAGAAAACCTGAAAAAGACAGCTAATGCAATCATCACATCTAAGAATTGCTTACACCACTTACAGAGCGATTGGGCCATTGCTAGCAGCGGATGTTGGAAAGTGGGGGACACCTGACCAGACCAGACCTTAAAGGGACCTCCAGGTTTCTGAGGGTGATATCTCTAAATGCGCTTATTGATTGCGCATCTGATGAGTGCGCAGTCTTCACTATTTGGCCACATCACCACTTTGCTGGATAAGATAACCAAATATTGAAGATCATCACGATCTCCTATGCACCTTATATTGGACTATATGCTGATCATCATTTGCAGCACTTTATACACCATTGGTCACTATCTAGTGACTGAGTGAATCACTATTCAATCACTTTATTTATTTGCCAGCACTTTATCACTTGTGTCACTTCTATATAACATTTTGCCATATTTCATGTTTTATATATTTTCTTTATTTACGTGGCTGGGTTTACATTAAAGACAATACTTTTTTTTTAATAGGCGACTAAATAATCAACATTACTTGAATTAAATTCCTTTTGACGTATCTAGCCAGCCTGAAGCTCCAGGATTCTTATGACATGTTTTCCCACTACTTACAATAAAGTGTTGATAGCCCTGTAAATTGAAGCTGATCCTGCCTGATCCTGTATCCCCCCCAGACAAAATGGGCATTTATTCTTTTCAGATTGAGGGGGAGTCCACTGCAAGGGTAGATTTTTTTTCTTAAATCCAGAAGTTTAACTGCTTTTCCAAAAAAAAAAAACATCTTCTACTTTCAGAGCTCAATAGCTAAAGCTCCAATGTACATAACCAATTGAATGAGTCAGAACAGCTTCTCCTTTTTACCCTGTTCAAATGGGGCCCTATAGAGTTTCAAGCAAAGAAAGAAAAGAAGGTAAGCTGTTTCTGCCCTTTTTAGAGGACATATATATCTTTTATACCAGTTAAATTCTTAATGTTTCCCATTAAATCAATATCAATTCACAACATTTGATTTACAAAGAAGTCTACATTTTAAATTCCAGAGGATGTTCGTTGTATAATATGAAATGCAATGATGAATTAAGATCTGTAGTCCTAAAACAGATATGCCTGCTTCTTAAATGAGCAAAAATGTACAAAGTGACATAAAGTGTAGTACCCAGATAGTATTACTTTGCACAACCTATTTTGTATTAACCATGTTATTCCTTTTATGTAGTTTGTACATTTAATAAGGAATGCTCAATTTATAAGCACCCCAATGCAGAATAACCCAACACAACACTGCAGACCACAATGCATAAACCATGGATTTGTTGTGTTCCATTGCCATACATCAGCAGCCCATTCATAATTAATGAACTGCCTTAATGCTACACATATTACTGTGGCTACATTAATGCATCGCAACAGAACATGTACTTGAATGGAAACTTAAAGATATCCAGGCAAAAATATTTATTTAAATTAGGAGTAGAATATGAATGAAGGTCCTATGTGTAGTTATACTTAAAGAAGAACTACGGGCAAAAATGTTATTTTTCAATGCAGTGGGGCTGTGCCTGCACTGCATGGGTTAAATGCTCGTCTTTGTCTAGTGGATCAGTAAGCGGAGATATACTTACCTAATCCGCTAATCCCTTGAGCGCAAGACCTGTCCCTGCCACTCCTGCTCCCCTGCATGCTAGCTGTCTTGTGAATGGCCTGTTCATAATGTCATCACGGCAATAGACCAGCTCCGGACATGAGGACGGCAGGAACAGTCCACCACTAGACATGGGGGAACGTAGTTTTCCGGAGGATCAGAGGATGGGGTACACATAGCTTTACCCTGAATCCCTGGACAAAACAAGCAGTTAACCGATGCAGTGCGGACATGGCCCCACTGCATGGGAAAATAAAAATTTTAGCTGCAGTTCTGCTTTGATCTATATCTAAAGCTAAACTTTAATTTGCTTTAGTTAGCAGGAAAAGGTTTAGAATCAGTTTTGAGTGCTGATTACATCCCATCTTCAGAGATTACCCACTATTTATCCTGGAGACCAATATCACTGTAACAGAGGGAAATCCTACATTTTTCATTTGTCACCAGAACAAGAAAAATATTCTCACGGGGACACCTATTCTTTTAACATATGTCTAAGATGGAGGTTTTTTGATGATCCACTGCTCTATCCAAAATAAAACAAACCGTGGGCTCTGCATATACTTCAAAATTGTAAAAACACTGTGACTGTGTCTTTCATTTGCTTTCCTTTGTGTTATTGGCTTTAGGAATGATCTGTGCTGATTTTTCAGCTCCAAAGTGGTGAAGGAGAAGGATTACTAAAAGGACTGTGGGGGATTTTTACCAAAACCAAAGCACAAATAATCTGGTGCAGCTACACATAGTAACCAATCAGCTTCTAGATTTTAATTGATCTTAGTTGAACAAGCTGAAGTTAAAAGCTGATTGGTCACTATGCAATGCTGCACCAGATTTAGTGTGCACCAGATTTAGTAAATCTTCCCCTATGTGTCTGGATGTCCTGATTACGTTTTACATGTTGCAGGTATAAATTTCACACAAATGCATGTCTTTTTCTTCCTTCAACCACAGCCAAAACAAAATTAAATTAGATTTGGATGGATGTCCAATTTACTATTTCTCATTCAGTTCTGTTTGGAGAATATCAGTATTTTTGTCAGATATTGTACCATTATGAGGCAGTCTTGTTACATTCTATTAAAAAAATACATGTGTCAGAAGGAATGTAGCCTGCCAATGCTTTTATTAGAATAATAGAAATTTTTTGGCATAGTCTGGAGAGCGCTGACTCCTCCACAAAGCCTGTGCTGGACTAAGCAGTAGCATGCTTGTGATTGCCATAACACTATACACGTGAATTTTTATGAAGCAGCCATATTAGAGCATATTTTTCTCACTCTTAGGATTTAAACCTCAAGCAAAAATGTTGATTTTCATCACCTGCCTCGAAGGGCATTTTTCTTTTTTTGTAATCTGATTACCCTCTCTCACCATTTTTTCCAGTTCTCTGAATAAATATGGTTTTATGCTCATAATGCTGTTTTTGTTATGCTGCATACCTTTAGGCCTGCCATAGACGGTTCGAGTCTCTGCTGGTTCGGCAGGAACCAGCTGGGATTCGAACCATGTGTGGGCAGGCTGTGTGTACCAAGTTGAACAATTGATCAACTTGAGCACAACCAGCCTTCTGGATTCATGTCCAATTGTCACTACTGGCTGCTATAGCTGCTAGCAATAGTAACTGTTTTTCTCCCCGTGGAAGGGCTTCCTCCGCCCACCCCTGCCCCCCTGACAGGAGAAGACAATTGCTCAGTAGGAGGGATTCTCCTGCCAACATGGTCTGTGCTGATGGCAGAATCGTGCAAACGGTTTACAGGAAAGAAATTTGCACAGTCTATGGCCTGGCTTACTCATGTTTTCCTTTTTGCAATGGAAGGATCAAGAACAGCCTGTACTTGAATTTCTAGAAAATTCCTAGTTTTTACCTAATTGAAGCCTGCAATCCAGTAGCAGTGAGTAGCAGCTCCTTATAGCTCATCTCAACCTTTTAAAGCATATGTTTGGGTAAAACTATTCTTTTAAAATTTTAATAGAGATTGACAGTTCTTATCTTTCCTCACTCTATCCGAAACCCCAAAAAACATTTTGCCTGGGCTGTTGTGCTAAGATTTCACCTGCAGGCATGCCACTATGGGGTTGATTTACTAAAACTGAAGAGTGCAAAATCTGGTACAGCTCTGCAGGGTAGCCAATCAGCTTCTAACTTCAGCTTGTTCAATTAAGCTTTGAGAAAAAAAAAAAGGAAACTGGTTTCTATGCAGAGCTGCACCAGATTTTGCACTTTCCAATTTAATAAATCAACCCCTATGATTGCTAGTCAGTACTAATATAGGTGTGTGCGCTGTAAACAATAGCAAACAAAGCGGAGTTGAGGCCTAACGCCTAACAAGATTTAGGAGGAAGAAACCCTTCCATATCCTTATTTATCACATTGTTAAGTACAAATCTTATATCTTATTACATCTTATTACATCTATTTATATTTTTGTTGAATAAATTATTTAAAAGGAAAATCTTCTATGGGCAAGTATATCACCTTTCTCTGTAGTAACTGTTTGAATGAAGATATAATGCAGGGGTCCTCAAACTACAGCCCACAGGCCACATGCGGCCCGCCGAGGACATTTATCCAGCCCGCAGTCCGCAGTCTCTGGTCATCTCCTGTACTGTGTCCGCAGTCTCTGGTCATCTCCTGTATTGTGTCCGCAGTCTCTGGTCATCTCCTGTACTGTGTCCGCAGTCTCTGGTCATCTCCTGTACTATGTCCGCAGTCTCTGGTCATCTCCTGTACTATGTCTTCAGTCTCTGGTCATCTCCTGTACTATGTCCGCAGTCTCTGGTCATCCCCTGTACTGTGTCCGCAGTCTCCGGTCATCTCCTGTACTATGTCTGCAGTCTCTGGTCATCTCCTGTACTGTGTCCGCAGTCTCTGGTCATCTCCTGTACTATGACTGCAGTCTCTGGTCATCTCCTGTACTGTGTCCGCAGTCTCTGGTCATCTCATGTACTGTGTCCGCAGTCTCTGGTCATCTCCTGTACTGTGTCTGCAGTCTCTGGTCATCTCCTGTACTATGTCTGCAGTCTCTGGTCATCTCCTGTACTGTGTCCGCAGTCTCTGGTCATCTCCTGTACTGTGTCCGCAGTCTCTGGTCATCTCCTGTACTGTGTCTGCAGTCTCCGGTCATCTCCTGTACTATGTCTGCAATCTCTGGTCGTCCCCTGTACTATGTCCACAGTCTCTGGTCATCTCCTGTACTGTGTCCGCAGTTTCTGGTCATCTCCTGTACTGTGTCCGCAGTTTTTGGTCATCTCCTGTACTGTGTCTGCAGTCTCTGGTCATCTCCTGTACTGTGTCCGCAGTCTCTGGTCATCTCATGTACTGTGTCCCGCAGTCTCTGGTCATCTCCTGTACTGTGTCCGCAGTCTCTGGTCATCTCATGTACTGTGTCCGCAGTCTCTGGTCATCTCATGTACTGTGTCCGCAGTCTCTGGTCATCTCCTGTACTGTGTCCGCATTTGTTCATAGTTTTTCTTTTAAACTATAGTCCGGCCCTCCAACGGTCTGAGGGACAGTGAACTGGCCCCCTGTTTAAAAAGTTTGAGGACCCCTGATCTAATGTTTATCTGTTACAATATGTTGAAAAAGTCAACAATTACCACGTATTTACTTTTTAATGTAATTGTATCTTTTGCTATACCTGCGAAAATATGTTTCACTTATACGGGCATTGAGCAACAATGCTTGGAAAATACTTTGTAGATGAATATCACTATACATTACATAAGGATCCTGTGCTGTGGTGCAATTTTCTGGTCAGATTTCTGTCAAAGTTGCTAGGTCTTCACAATTGAAAGAATTAAGCAGAGTGTTTTCCTTTATCTTCTGTATATGCTCCTCACATCTGCTATGCAGGTGGACATGGAACTGACGACAGTTTATAGCTATTACAGTGGCATGCTAGATATAAGACATGTGGCTGAATCCTGTTAGTCACAGGCAGAACAACTGTGCCGTCAATGCTGCATCATTTTAAAGCATTTTTGGGTATTTTGTTAGTATATAATCAATCACTTTCCAAACCATCAGATTTTGTACAATCTGTTCCCATGAAATTTATATTCAGAAATAAACATGTATGCTTTTGGTGATCTTAAAGTATATTTACATAATGAATGTATTTATCTGCCAGGCTGCTACTGAAGGATTGTGTGTTGCCACAGTTTGGGGCCTCTACAATTTGGTATATTAGTCCTTGTCTTTGGTGGCTGATCTGCTTCCATAGTAGCCTCTGTATATGCTATTTGACTCAGGTGAGAAAAGAACATGGTGCAGGGTTCTTCCTCCATTCTAAACAATATGATAGTGTGACAAGAACACACCTATCTAAAAAAGAAGGTTTCTAAGTAATCCACGCGGAGTAATGTGAATTCAAATGAATTTAACAATACTTTATTTGATCACATAGATCATAGGGAGGTTAAACATGAGCACGGTGTACATATGAAAAAAATAAAATCATGTTAAAAAGCACTTAGCGTCTTCAATTTAGGGTCATCTTAGCCAACAGAGCACCATATAAAGCAGAGTGGTGTAATGATGAAATAATTATCCTGGATTTCCGTAGGTTTCCTGCTTAATATTTTGTGTGAGCCGTGTATTCAGTGGGTGTGTTCCCAGTGTATATCAGGGACCTCCTGGAATGTACAAGCTGGAACACAAAAATACATGGTATGTATCTAGCGATATGGAGACCAAATCACATCCAAAATTAACCAGACCTCCCTCCACAATAGTCAATGGATACTGCTGTTACCTTCTCAAAGGTGAAACTATCATACCCGCCTCTCAAGTGTAGGGACTTCCTGGATAGCCACCCCAAATGGAACAAGGTCCACAGTACCAAATGATTCTGAGGATATATATAGAAAAAGTTAAATGTGTAGATCTTGGGCATCAGGTACCCCGAAAACAAAACATATATAAAAATGTGGATATATTACCATCAATGAGGATCAAGAAGACTCTTGTCGACTTGAACTAAGATCAGGTCCTTGATGCTTTTTCACAGATGCATATGGGGGTGAGGGACCAGGTATACACGATGCGTGGATTTCAAGCACATATAATGTGTATATAGCATATAGCAGGCCGTAGATACCTGAGTTTAATATACCCAATATAGGGTTTCCAAAAATTGCTCAATTTGAGAAGGTTATTTGCGGTTTTTTAAGGATGTGGCTATGTCACAGCAAAAAAATACCTGAGTAGGATAGCGTATATATATATATATATGTAGATTCTCCTCCTGAGAGGAATTCCAAAAAATTCCCTGAGTATACAGGGTAAATTAGGCCCATGAATCATGCCCTATTAACGCCATGTAGGCTCTGTAAATCTCAACAGCCGTAAGCTTTTAAATAACTTGCCACCGGTGGAAGATATGTTTCCCTGAGGGATTGCCGTTTGCGAACCGCTGTGATAGTAGCCCACTGGTAGTTCTCAGAGGGTCTTGGGCCTACCTAACAGGGAGCTGTGACACACCGCCGTTCCTTCCCGCCTCGTGGGCGCCGCACCCTGTGAAGACGCCGAGCGTAGTGACGTCAATACGTTGACGCGTTTCGTCCGCCAATCACCGCAGACTTCGTCAGAAGTCTGCGGTGTCTACTGTTACCAACCAATCCATTGTCTACTGTTACCAACTGGAAATGTGCAGACCTTGAGCAGGATTCAGTTGTGAAAAGAAAGGTGATGGATTGGAGTTGATTTACTAAAACTAGAGAGTGAAAATTCTGGTGCAGTTGTGCATGGTAGCCAATCACCTTCTAACTTCAGCTTATTCAATTAAGCTTTGACAATAATACCTGGACGCTAATTGGTTTCTATGCAGAGCTACACTAGATTTTGCCCTCTCCAGTTTTATTAAATCAACGCCAATGTGCCAACAGTATACTTGCTTCCTTTCTAGGCTACTATCAGTAAGATTTGTATATGCAGTTCCCCCCTTTGGAATTACCTGTTTCAGCATGTTTCCCCTTTCCAGTTCTTTTTTTTTACCATATTCTAAAAGATTTTGATACAATTGTTACTTCAGTTACTGTATAGGTGCAATTAAATACACATCGTACACACACATTTAGATAAACGTGGGGTGGTGCTGTTTGAAAGAAAAAACTCTCTCTCTCTCTCTCTCTCTCTCTCTCTCTTTCTCTCTTTATATATACTGTGTATATATATATATATATATATATATATTGCCAAAAGTATTGGGATATTGATATGTTGGCTCACCCTTTGCAGCTATAACAGCTTCAACTTTTCTAAGAAGGCTGTCCACAAGGTTTAGGAGTGTGTCTATGGGATTGTTTGACCATTCTTCCAGAAGCGCATTTGTGAGGTCAGGCACTGATGTCGGACGAGAAGGCCTGGCTCGCAGTCTCCACTCTAATTCATCTATCGGGTTGAGGTCAGGACTCTGTGCAGGCAGTCAAGTTCCTCCACCCCAAACTCGCTCATCCATATCTTTATGGACCTTGCTTTGTGCACTGGTGCGCAGTCATGTTGGAACAGGAAGGGGCCATCTCCAAACTGTTCCCACAAAGTTTGGAGCATGAAATTGTCCAAAATGTCTTGGTATGCTGACTCCTTAAGCGTTCCCTTCGCTGGAACTAAGGGGTCAAGCCCAACATCTGAAAAACAACCCTACAGCATAATCCCTCCTCCACCAAACTTTACACTTGGCACAATTAAGTCAGAAAAGTACCTTTCTCCTGGCAACTGCCAAATGCAGGCACATCCATCAGATTGCCAGACAGAGAAGCAAGATTCGTCACTCCGGAGAACACATGTCCACTGCTCTAGAGTCCAGTGGCAACATGCTTTACACCACTGCATCCAATGCTTTGCATTGCACTTGGTGTAAGGCTTGGATGCAGCTGCTTGGCCATGGAAACCCATTCCATGAAGCTCTCACTATTGTGCTAATCTGAAGGCCACACGAACTTTGGAGGTCTTTAGCTATTGACTCTGCAGACAGTTGGTGACTTCTGTGCACTGTGCGCTTCAGCATGTGCTGACCCCGCTCTGTGTATATATATATATATATATACACACACACACACACACATATACTGTATAAGCCCTCAAAGTTGGACAAAGTTGTTAGTACCCTTACCTAAAATAGAATAGTCACAATGCTCTTGAAACTGATCAAAGTAATTGGTATCCATTATTGTTTGTTCAGTGTTGATTAAGAATCAGACTTTCCTTTTGCTTTTTGGTTCAACACATTATTTTACATAATAAAACAAAAACGTAAACTAGCATAGACAAAAATGATGTGAATCTTTCCCTAATATTTTGCTACACAAACTTTGGAGGCAGTCACTGCAAGAAAGCATTTCTGAAGTTCTCAATAAGAAATCTGCACCTGCCAGTGGGTAGCTTGGCCCATTCTTCTTGAGTAAACTGCACCATCAGTTCTCCAAACTGCATGTTTCAGCTCTTTCCATATGTGATCTATCAGATTCAGATCATGGCTCACAGAAGGCCACTTCAGAAGTCCAAGGTGTTCTTGGCCATTCTTGGATGCTTTTATCTGTGTGTTTAGGATCATTATCCTGTTGGAGGACCCATGACCTTGACAATACTGTAAACAGAGCTTTCTGACACTGTGCAGTGTGTTTCACTCCAGAATTCCTTGATAGTCTTGAAAGTTCATTGTGCCCTGCAAAAATTCATGGCACCCTGTCCTGGACAGAACAAAGCAACCTCAAATCATAACCGAGCCTACTGCATGTTTCACAGTTGCTAGGGTGTTCTTCTCTTTGAAGGCCTCATTTTTCTATCTGTGAACATAGAACCTACAGTTTTGTAACATCTGTCTAAAGGACATTCTTGCTTTTTCAGGTCCATGTTCAATATGGTGCGAAAATGTATATGAAACAGCAGAGTGACTACTTTTGTATATTTGCATAGACTGAAGAAAACAGCTTGAAATTTCAATATTATCCAATTATTTATAATCTTTTCTAGGGGTAGGTTCCAGATCATTTTAGTATTGCTTTGTAGAATAAGCCATAAT